TCTTCTTGCACCAACTAATATTGCCAACTTAATATATACGATTGACTTGTTTCTTTTTTGGTCTGCAACTGTTTTGCAAAAAAAATTGCAACATCCAAAGATTTTTTTGTCTTTCTATTTTTAAGGATAAAACGTTCAACTTCTTTTTTTTTTTCTGAATATACATTCTTCAAATTTTAAGAAAATAAGAAGGTATTTGAACAAAATCAATTTATATGTTCCTTATAAATCAAAAACTGTTAGGAAAAGAACCTGTAACTTAAATTGCAAAAATAGTAGTTTACGAATATATTACTAATCTTTTTTCCTTCACAGATAGGAACAGACCACAAATATATAATGAACAATAGGAAAGCACAATAATCTGTATCATCAGGTCACCTTAAAAAAAAGTTCATCAGGCATTCAAAAAACTAAATATAATACTTAATTTTTGCCAACTTTAATGTTTTGTCTGAAATATTTTTAGAAAAAAATTAAAATAACAAATTTAAGAAAAGACATCTTAGTGGTTCGCTTTTGATATTCTTAAGCAAAGTGCTCCTTCTTATTTTCAAGAACTTGAAGCCAAAAAGGAAAATAAGGGGGAAAACAATTTCAATAAGCAGACTTGTAAATATTCGTCAACATAAAATCAACGCTAACAAGCCTAAAAAATGAATAAATGGTCTTCAACCAAAAAAAAAAAAAAAGTTGGGGCTGAAGGTTTAAGGAGAGAGGGTGGCACTCTCGTAAATGTCTTTGTAGAAAATGACTTATGTTGGTACTTGATTTTGTATAATGCTCATTCAAGGGTCTAGGCCTAACCATAACGTTGCGTGATGTTATTGAGCTCGCTTCGTGGACCCAAACTACGCTCGGAAAACTCCCGTGGGTTGTGGTTTGGTAGGCCATGTGTGATAGCGTTTGACACATAATTCAATCCAATTTGGATCCCGTTTGGAGGGTTTCAGAATTAATCGAATTAAGTATAAATGGGTGATGGAGAATTCCCAAAAACACCTTCCTCTAGTCCTTTTGGAAGCCCAAAATTCCTAAGCCCAAGCCTTAAAACATATTTTTCTTCATCAAGGTTGATTCTCAGTATTTTGACTCCAACAGAGGCTCTACCCATGCCAGACATGCCTAATGGAGGCTCCCTTCGTGGCAGACATGTCTCCCAGAGCATCCTTTTCATGTCCAAGTGTGCCTAACGGAGCCTTTTCGTATCAGGCATTCTTCCTTTAAACTTCTTCTCACCTAGCTCACCATCGGAGCAACCTTTGCTTTGAGCACGCTTACCCTTCGGAGCAGCTTCACCCGGAGCAGCCTTTGTCTGAAGCATGCTCACCGTCGGAGTAGTTTCATTTGGGGTGACTTTCATGTCAGAGCTAAGTTGACAGTTGCTTAACCAATATCGTATAAACCATCTCTGACAAGGTCTGACATGCGATCAAACCTCCAAAAAAGGAAGTCAATGGAGCACGAAGTTGAGTCAAACCCTCTTGAGATTTTCAGACGTTAGAACTCTTCACATTAGCTTCAAATCCGGAGCTTTGCCTCCAAGTCTTCCCATTTTCGGATCTTTTCTTTGTCAATCCAGAAAGTCACCTCATTGCTTTGCTCTAAAGGAAATTTTGTGTGCATGTCTCTGTCAGAGCGTCATCGATTGGACTTCGGAGCAGCCACCATGAACCTTTCTTTCCATTTTTGGGCCAGCTCTTTTCCAACCCCGGAAAGGCTTCGGATGACTTTGCTCCATTTGGATTGTGTATGCATGCTTCCTTCAGAGCGCCGCCGATTCACCCCTGGAGCAAGTTCCTAGAAGTCATTTTTGGCTAATCTCTTCTTCAACTCTGAAAAGGTGTCAGAGGGCTTTTCTCCATTAGGATTACTTATACAGGCGTCCGTCAGAGCACGTCATACGAACCTCCGAAGCTGACACCAAAATCCTACCAATTTCACCTATAAATACCCCTCATCTCCTTCATTTCGGGGGTGAATCAATCATTAGCACCAGCCACCACTTTTATCCTCATATTACCCTTTCTTCAGACTTCTCTAGTCTTTTGCTAGAGAGACTTGAGGTCCTTCAAGCTCTTTAAAGTCTTTCAATGCCTCCAAGTGTTGATAGCCTTGAAAACCTTTCCAAAACACTTTTTGATCCATTTCCACCACCATCTTAAAACCTTTCGAAGTTTCTTTATACATTTTTCGGCAACATCCAAGTCTTTATCTTCGGGGTCACTTCCGCTCACTGTCGGAGCAAGTGCTCCGAGCGCCGTTCTCACTTACAAAGCAACATGCACTCCTCTTGGAGTTTCCTTTACCAGAGCCTTATCCACCTCACCAACTTCACTCTCACTTTCCTCTAAGCCTTATCCACCATTTGAGTCACCATCTTTGCTCTTGGAGTAGCTCACACTTGTCTCTAGAGTACTGCTCTATCAAGGCACTTTCGGCGTCCTTTTCTCCATCTCCATCAACTACTTGGTTGTACATTCCACCATTCTTCTTCTCCGGAGTTCTTTCATTTGTTTTTTGTGGATTCTCTAACATATTTTGCAGGACATTTTCGTTATTTCGGCAGCAAAGAAGGTCCTAGGACATGCGTCCTTCGGCCTAATTTGGGCCTAACCGCCCACTTCTTCGTAGGAGGTCCAGCCATCATTATCCACCTCAAAGCTCAGCCACATCGGATCCGCTTTCAACAAACCACGTGCTTATGCGTGTCAACCCCCTGACATGTCGACCCTCCGAATCTACCGGACCCCGACAACTTATTATTAAATGTGTTTATTTGATAAAGTTAAAGTGACACGTGTCAAACATAGAAGGTAACATCTGTAAAAGAGTCTGAAATAGAGTCTTCACATGTATCCCTCGTCAACGATGGCCTTGGCATTCTCTTTCCATTGACACAGTGTTGAATGAATGAGATCGATCTCTTCAGGCACATATGATGTCGCTACGCACTGCCCCTATATCCATCTCTTGTGACCGCCAACCAATGTCTTTGCATCGCAAACCATATCGCGACATCATCGCTCGGGAAGAGAGCTCAAGAAACAGTCTGATCGCAACATCATCCCCGTGAAACGTGGAATAAATAAGCACCTCTTAATGTTTCTGAAAATATCTACAACCATCTCCTGGTTCTCGCTTGATTTTATACAATGTTAATGATGTATCTATGTGTGTTTATGTGTACATGTGTGTGTGTAACGTGTTCTCGTAGCTCATATATTGGTGCCAATCTGGCCTTCATATAGACCTAGGTTGAGCCTAGATCTTCAGTCCAAAAACCGACCTAGTTAGGTTCTTACTTTATCAAAAATTGTAGTAAATAACATATTTATGAAACTATATTAAGTAAATAACAGATTTTAAAACTATTTGAAATAAATAACAGTTTACCATATAAAAATTTCATTTACGACTCACAAAAAATAATTTACATAGTAAAAAATCTTATTTACATGGAAAAAGATCTTATACTAGTCATAAAAAGAAAATTTACTTAGTAATTAAAAAAATTACGTAAAAAAAAAAATCTTTATACTAATCGTATTAAAAATTGTAAATTACTATTTACTATAAATCAGTTATTTATTTCATTCTCTTATTAGTTAATTTTTTTCATATTTCTTTATATAAAATATGGGCTTGGCTGGCTAGCCATCTCCTCATAAAACAAAAAAATTGGGTCGACCCACCTAACATGTTTTTACCTTTCAGACGAACAGTCGTGAAAAACTAGTCAATTAACTGCCCTCCCACCGTGCCACAAAATATGGCTTGTCATGTTGTAACATTTATCTGATCTAGACCGTTGCAGAAAGGACACGGCAAAAAAAGACTTGGTCACCTTAATTCTTACCAGCCAAAAGACTCAACACATTGAATATGATTATAAGAAGGTGAAAATAATTGCTTTTCAAGAAGACTTATGGAGACTAATGTATTTAATTCTCAACGTCAGAAAAATAGAAAAAAAAAATTACATTCATCAAATAGAATCTAGTTAAATCTAATATCATATACCTTACTCGGATACCCTCATGATTAAAATAAAATTGTGCATGCATGAGTAAAATCTTTACATGTCTTATAGATCAAATAATTAGCTAATAATATTAGGTATTTGTAGTTGTAGTCTTGCGCTTTTTTTTTTTTTTTTTTGAAGAAGAAGAAGAAGAAGAAGAAAAGCAGTGTGAAAGTAAACTGCACGAGCTTAATAAATTTTATAATAATGCGTTGGCCAACTTGGCATATAATAGTACTAATTTTTATGTGTTCATATGTCTCTAATGATTATTTTAGTATCTTAATGTGATGGTTGTAGACTATTACCAATGCTAAAAGAAGTATTGAAAAGTTTTATGTTCTAATTAATAAACCTTCTAAGAGAGAGAATAACCGTTAATATTTAAGGTTAAAGAATAAAAAGTATGCAACCTACGTATAAGGATCTTGCATTAATTAGTAATGAATCAGTTTCTATACCACATGCCGAATAGAAGCTGTGTTTACTCGAAATAAAAAACACCAACTTACTAGTGTGTTTTTTTTTCCTTTAATATAATTTACTCCTATTTTAATTTTTTTTTAAAAAAGGGAGGGATATAAAATTATTTTAGGAGCAAAGGGAACTGTGGGGAAAAGGGAAAAAATAGTGGAAAGAGACGTTGTGCCTTCCTCCCTTGACTCTTTTCAAAATCCATGCAAAACGGTGGACTTTGACCCAATACTTTTCCAACCTTTCTCCTCCTTGGCTGCTCTCTCTCTCTCTCTCTCTCTCTCTCTCTCTAAGCTCTAGCTCTTTTTTGTTTGTTTTTTTGCTCTGAAAATTTCAAGTTCACACGATGCATACAAATCTACTCTTTCTCTCTCTCCTAGCTTAACTAATAAATTGCTTTTTATTTTCAGCCTTTTTCTCCTCCCAAATTCCCTTCTACCAAGTTTCTTATATCTGCCCCACAAAATACTTTTCAAATTTTCTCTCTCCTACAGTACTCTCCTTCTCCATTTCTCTCCCCTTTTGTCTCTCATACTTATCAACCCCTATTCTTGTGCACCAATCCATCATATGAAAACGAAATATCCTCACCATGTCCCCAAGCCAGCTAATAAATTTCCCAACTTGCTTAATTTTTCTTCCAAGAAAGCTTTCTATTCTCACCACACATACTATCTATGTATATATATAAGCCCATACCATTTTTGTCAAAATGGATCTCTATGATCATGCAAAATTTTGTTTCTTATGTAACACATGAAATATATATTATAAGCTAGTACTACTTCATCAATATTCCTCATGGAAATGAGTTTGTTTCTTGATCTGGACCAAACCGGTCGATCGAATTTTCTTCGAGCTCTGTCACAATCTCTGGGCTGCACTTACGTCTGTTTCTGGATTTACATTCGCAACCCTGCAAAGTATGCATTCATGAAACATGATCAGTTTGTTCTTTTCTTGTCTTTGGATTCTCTCGTTTCTTTTTATACAATATTTATAAATATATATACATATTGTTGTATATGCAGCTGCTCATATATTGGTTTCGGCAGCTGTTTGAAATACCTAGATGGTTTGTTTCTCGAAGAAGAAGTGATCAACACCCAATTGCCTAGCTCTTCCTCGGGAAGTTATGCTCGGAGGCTTTTCGATGAATACCGGCAATCAACATTCAGTGTTGCCGCCAATAACGAGTAAGATGATCTGTGAGTTATATGATCTTATGGTGTTGGTTTTTAATTATTTAATATTGATCTCAATTCTTGATGGGGTTTTTATTTTTTATTTTTTATTTTTGTAACGCCATTTTTGTGTATGTATTTGATGATCAGCCATGTTCCAGGATTTGCGTTTAAGCATAGCTTTCCATATTTGGAGCTTCAAGAATTGGACCTCCGGAGATTGACTTCAAACGATACGCAGAGGCAGTTCTATCAGGTAAATAACGACGATTTGTTGCAACTAATTCAATGGAGCATTATACATTGCAAATTTGACAAGCATATGAATTTAATTAATCTATATCTAGCTAATTAAGCAATTTTTTCATTTGTTTTTTGTCACAGGAAGCGAGGATTAAGGTAATATAAATACTAATCTGTAGGAAAAACAACCTCGGTCATAATTAGTCTAGACCATGAAAAAACTTAAACTAAAGTTTTTATTTCCACTTATAAATTTGATGTACACATATATACACAGACTGCAGTTTTCATGGGATGCAAGATTGGAGAGCTTGAACTTGGTCTACCAAATGTGCCTCAGGTAAGTAATTAAACCAAGTTAACCCATTAATTAACCATATAATTTCACCATTTAGGTTCAATAATCAGCTAGTTCAATTTCCTTTGTAGATCAATATGAAAATGGAACTGAAAAGCTGGTTTCCAGAAGAGTTTCCCACGACTCAATCCCAACTTGTGGAGCTAATCAATCCAAGACGACCATTAATAACCGAACAAAACCCGCCGACTTCGTCTTCATCTTCATTGAGATCATTCTCCATAGATAGTAGCCCTGAATACTCATCTCTTCTATTCAACATTCCTCCAACAAATACTAATACTTGTCAAAATATTCCTGAAATATTATCCCACCCAGATGTTAACATTAATCCTCCTCCTATACAACAACCAATCATGCCACACCATCAAGAAATGCAATCCTTTGCCCGCCTTCGAAACATTCAATTCCCGAATCTAGAGACCGAAGCAGCAGCCATGACGAAAGCGATTCTCGCGGTCCTAACTTCTCCTTCACCTCCAGCTTCTTCATCTTCTTCGCCGCATCAACCTTCACATACTTCTAGCACTTATAACCATGACCCTCATCACTTGATAAATCCGAAATCCAGTGCTTTCAAGAGCTATACTAATTCGTCGTTGCTAGCCTCGCAATTAGCACGTGACTTGGGATCCAAGAAAACTGTATTCAAGCGATCGATTTCGTTCTATCGTGGCTTGAATTTCATGAGGAATCACCAGCGTTTACAAGTGACACGCCCTAGTAGCACCCAATTGCACCATATGATATCAGAGAGGAAGAGACGTGAGAAACTCAATGAAAGTTTTCATGGACTTAGGGCACTACTGCCTCCAGGGACCAAGGTAATTAATTTCATGTGTTACCATGAAAGACAAATGTTAGATGATCACTTTAAATTTTTAGTTAGATTAATTTTCAGAATTCATGCATATGTATTTCTTATGTTGAAATTATTAATACAATCTTGTCTATGAATATTTGTTAGGATTAATATTACATGTGCTCTCCAAGTTTAGAGGGTCATTCATTTTGCTTTATGAACTTTAAAAAATCTCATTTTCTCTTAATTTTGAATTAGTTTCTCTTAACTATTTTATTAAATTTTCATTAAAATAAATAAATAAAGACCATATGACCCAACTTAACCTGTCTTTCTTTGTTTTTAACAAAAATTAGAATAAAGAGAGAGTTTTTAAAGTTTGAAGGATAAAATTGTGAGAATAATCTTAATTTTAAGAGACACTTATAATAAGAAGATATCCTAAAAAAAAAAAAAAGAAAAATTTATTAGTAGTTACGTGCATACGTAATTTTGCAAGATCATTTAATGAGTTTTGGAATGTGCAGAAAGACAAAGCATCTCTACTAAATACAACGAGAGAGTATTTGATCGCATTAAAAGCCCAAGTCGAGGAACTTAGCAGAAGAAACAAGCAATTGGAGGCTCAAGTTTTTCCATCGAGTACTGCGGGCGCAGTCAACAATGAAGAAGCAACAATTATTAATGAAAGTTCATCAAGTGACAATCATGAAAGACTACAAGACGTTAGGCTAAGACACGTGTCCGGATCAACGTCAGAAGAAGCAGAAATTGTTGACTTGCATGTGACTCTTAGGGCGGCAATCCCTGCTGAGGATCTAGTGCTTCGAATATTGGAATTCTTGAGGCGGGATCAGAAGAATGTCAGCATGATTTCCATGGAGGCCAATTCTCGTTTGACCGAATCAAGTGCTTTTATTAATCGTGTTACCTTTAGATTAAGAGTACTTGAGGTATGTTTTAGTTCATTAATTAATGATTATGTTGCAATAAGTTCTCATACATGGAAAATTAATGAGCGGTAGTACTACTATAGTTAAGAACTTTATGAAAATTTCAATAGCTCTAATACCTGTTTATTTTTTTAGCTATAGTATTTTTTTTTATAAAAATTTAAATTTTTATTTAAATTTATGAGTCAAATGAGTCGTAGATCGATATAAACAAATGCATATAAACAAACAAACAAGACATGCAATCATATAATATATATATATATGGTAAACAATGACTTTAGAAATTAATATTCCATTTTAACTTTTTCTTAGATTTGAAAGGGAAGGTGTTTGAACTTTACATCTTATAATAGAGTCAGGCGTCGAATTACTAATAAACTATGCCTCTTACTGCTATTTTAATTTACCTGCAGTCATCATTTTAATTGTAGGGAGACAATCACTTTTTAATTTAGATTCATTTTGTTGGTAGTCGTAGATTATAATGGCCCCTATCTAGGCATAACGTGTATATTACTTTGAAAGGCACAGGAAAGAATAAGGAAGTTAATTCCTAAGAGGGTCATTATCAATATTATTAGAAGTGTTGATCAGTCAGTCACACTTAATCATAATTAATTAAAGTAAATTCTTTTTGGTTGATTATAGGGGAGCGAGTGGGACGGGTCTGCCTTCCAGGAAGCAGTTAGAAGGGTGGTTGCTGACTTGGCACAATGAAAACCCGACCAATCGCTGTTCGACACATGATCTACAGTCAACCTATAATATTTTTTATTCTTCAGTGGCTGCCCGTCGTTGCCGATGATTCTCAGCCGTCGATTTTGAGCTCAGCAATCAACTTTTTTCCTCTTCAGTTAGTAGATTTTTCAAGCTTAGTGCTTAATTTTGCACGTTTTTTATTGATATGGTCACTCATAAAAAAATAGAAAAATTAAAGTATATATTTGTATATGATAAGAGTAGTTTTCCATCCGCTCTTATACAATTGATCGGATAAATATACTTGGTAGAAGAAGATTGATCTTGACCTAGAGAAGATCAAACCTATTTTTTTTGTTATCAAAGAAAGAAATTGTTAACCAAAATCATGAGATTCTTTATTTTATTACATTCTCGTGGGTTCTAGATAAATTTATGTTTGAAATGTGTATTTATAGATTAATCTGTCGCCCAAATTGACTGCAAGAAATTTTGAAGGCAGACTGCGAAATTATCAACCTTCCATAGAAGAAAAGATCCAACAAAGATATCATGCGTACGTCACATGATCATATGACTCTCCATATACATCCACAAACTGGTCTGATCCAATACTTTTTCAACATTTTCTAACTTTGAACTATTCACTAATTTAATTAAGGGTACTTTTCTAATAGGACCTACCACTATTAAATCGGATCAAAATCACATTTAAATATATATATATATATAATTGACCGTTTTTAACTGGTTAAAAAAACCCATTGATATTTCATTTTAATAGGTCCAATAACAATCTCCTTTAATCTAAGCTCAAAATCTAAATAGAATTAAAGTAAAGAGAAATGCTAATATCATTTTTTATGTCACTCTCTGTATTTATTATTTGACATATACTATCTCATTTATTTTTTTAAATAATAATACATTATATTAGTAGAGTAACGTATCAAATAATAAATGCAGAGACAGAAAAAATGATGCTAACATTTATTTTAAAGTGGAAGTGGGTGTTATTTGTTCAAGGGAATCCAATTCCACTCCCACATCGGTAGGACTGGGACCGGACTATAGACAAGACAAAGGAAATGTCCAGATGACATTTCTCTCTTCTCACCAAACCAAGACCCCCGATATCCAATTGGTTTACGTGACTTCTAATACTTTTTAATGGCTGAGAGTTATTTGTGTTTTTCAGTTGCCTATTAGCATTTATTTCGCCAATTAACCCTCTTAAACTGTTATATTCTACAATTAACCCCTTATATTTGATAATATGTATCAAAAACCGTCCCGCTTGATAATGGCGTTAATTTTTTTTTTTTTTTTTTTTATAGAAATTGATATGTGACTTGCACTTTGACGATTGATTAAGGGCATGAGTGACCACATTTATTTGGTTTTAAAACCAAAATTATTTCTAAAACCAAGTTAATTCAAGATTGTCCAGTTTGATAAAAATAATCAATTAGAAACTTTAACAATAGTAGATTTGCGTCAAATTAGACATAAGTTACTATTTCATCATTAATTTGCAATCCATGTCAACGTTACATCTCAATTTGCATTAAAAGAGTTAATAATAACACCTTTATTAAACCCTAGCCGCCAGAGTTCTCGAGAGAGGGGCTCTGCAACAAGTTTAGATGAGAAGTTCTCTAGGGTCGGTGGTCCGGCTATTCGTCGGGCTGCCGGTCTCCAAAGTTCGTCCAAGAGATTGCAAAGGTTACTAGTGTCGGGTTCGTACCGATAGAAGTGTGGATAGTCACCGAAATGGAGTTGTTCAAGGGGAAGCAGTTTCTGGTCTTCTACCTTAGATCTAGGACGTATTTGTCGTGGGATTATGTTGAAACTCTGAGAACTAGATCGTGGAAGGGAGGCGAGGAAGGTAGTCTAGAGCGTGTAGCAGTCGCCGCTCATTGGCGGCAACACGTGGATCCCATGCGTCACCGTGTCTCTGGTGCTTTTGTTGCCATTTTATGAGCTTTTCTTCGGCGCCACTTATATTGTGTCCCACACACCTCTGACGTTGAGGGGCTCAATTTTGTTGGTTTAATTCATTGGGATCTTTATAGATTTTTTTTATTTTTCTGCTTTATATTTTTATTTGTGTTGTAATAACAGTGATGGTGTCCTCATCTATAGGCGTTAGGTCTCCCCACCGCTCTAATTCTGAATTATGTAGTCTATTTTGGGACTGAGGTGTGGTTCATCTGGAGTCATTTCGAAGTGGCCAAACCCTGTTATAGTGCCACTAGTTGGAGGAGTTCTCTTCGTTATTGGGTAAGAAATGTGTTTGTATTGTCTAATCATGTGAGTCGCTTCCGGTTCTTGACTCTAATTTTGCCCTATATCCTAGCCTTTTAGTGACTTTTTATTGAAGTTATGTTATTGTCTTTAAAAATAAATAAATAAATAATAACATCGGGACTGTTTTTGCCACGTAGTTCTAAGTTTAAGGGACTAAATTAAATTTTTTAAAAAAATGGAAGACCTGGCTCGGGCAATTGTGGAATTTATGCTTCTAGTTGTGGTAAAGGAATCAATAAATTTCCACGTTTTGGACTATGTTGATGTGCCTTTTTAAAAGCCCTATTTGGCTAATGTTTTCGTGGATGCAAATTTCAAGCCTAGTCAATAATTTGTCTGTGTTGGAATTAACATTCGAGACGGCGGTTTTGACCGGCAATCTCATCCTGTACTATACGGGACCTAGCCTTTAGGTGGTTTTTTTTTTTTTTTTTTTCCTTCTTCGTCAATATGATTTTTATTATTAATTATTATTTGTTGGCTAGTCCAATATTGCTTTAAATTAGACAGGTGGATTTATATCATTGATCATTGATAATTTACTACTTTTGTATGTGTGAGAAAAGGAAGGGGCAAGGAAACTCGGTTGTGATGAGGTTAAGTTTATTGGTCCTTTTATTGTTGAAATATATTAGTGTCAACATTAGATTTGGTATTGACGTAGTATGTAACTGAAATTATCTCCGTTTTCACGTTTTATGATTTAGTTGGAGAATTTTTCGGTGGAGTATGAAAAATAGATAGGGTTTTACTGTAAACCGTCAAATTTCTATTAAATTATGTTAGTGTGCGTACTTTCTTTTTTTTATTATTATATTGATATGATTTTAACAAAATATAAATTTCAACAATAGAGAAAACATGTGCCATCCAATAGAAACCCCATGAAAAAAAAAAAAAAAAAAAAAAAAAAAAAAAAAAAAAAAAAAAAAAAAAAACCCTATTTTATTTTTTATGTTTTATTTAAGGTAAGATCCTTTCCCCAACCACACCCAAAAAAAAAAAACAAAAAACAAAAAAAAAAGGAAAACCTTAAAAGCATTTTATAGTTGTGATACGGTGATAGGCACCTTGTTAAGCATACGAAGTGTGGCTGAACATTGCATATGCAGCAGCTGTGGTGACCCCACAAGTTCTAGTCAACGATCCCCATTCTTCCAAGCTGCTATTTATGAAACCCCAAAACTTTGATTCACTACACGAATGATGAATCTTGTACATAAAACGTGATCAAACCTACATCACATGGCAACTTGGAAACCTTACAAAAGAAATTGACCAGAAGCAAAGGGCCGGAAAGACAAAAACCTCTATATTTCGATCTATATATGCAATTTACCAACAGCGAATACAGAGAGAACTTTAATTTTACATTCTGAAATTACCACCTAACTTACGCTTCAACTGCGGCAACAGTTTCTTCCTCAGTAGAATCACCGGAAACAATTTCCACGTTAGAGCTTTCACCCATAGACTCTGCTTCGGATTCCTTTTCTGTCTCAATATCAAGTATTTTCTCCCTAAGCTTGGTAGCAAGTTCTTCCCGAGCATTATCATTACCAGACAGATATCTTTTTAGAGCATCCTTGCCATGGAAATTCTGGTTATTTAAATTATAATGTGAACCAGCCTTTGAAATGAATTTGTATTTTAGCCCCAACTCTATGATCTCCGATTCTCGACATATTCCCTTACCAAACTCCAGCTCAAAATTAGCGGTTTTAAATGGAGGAGCAAGCTTGTTCTTCACAATCTTCACTTGAACTTGACTCCCCAAAGTCTGCAAAACAAAAGGGTAGCAAAAACTTACTTAAGGAGACAATGTGAGAAGCCCCACTTTAATTAAGTGCCCGTTTGGAAGACGGGTTCAAAGCAATAGTTTGAATTACAGTTCAAATTTTGTGACAGAAAGCGTTGTAGTAGAACCTTTTAAATTCAAATTTTTGTGAGGGAAAACATTTTTTGAACCAAAACTAGGTGGGTTTGAACCCATAAAACAATCAAGCCCTAAATGACGTTGGTAAGAAAGTTTTCCAAATTATCCCATACACCATACATGTGGCTCACAAAGGAAAAGATCAAAAATACAATTTGATAGTGATTACAAAGATATGGTTGGTAACAAGATACGAAGGTCAAGTATAATACCAATCATCCTGGACAAACCCCACCCCAACAAAGAGACCTTTTATTAGACATGCTGCCAATAGAGATCATAGGATATTTCTTGAGCAGACATGATTTGAAGCCTCTGGAAGTAAAAGAAAGTCAATTTTCTTTACATATAGAACGAACAAACAAACAAAAAAGACAAAAAAAGCAGGAAGAATTTTTGTATTATATTCAAATTAGGTCTAACCAAAACCACACGAACTCCCAACCAAAGAGTGTTATATATTGGACTTTTTTTAACATCATAAGGAATTCATTGAAAAAAAAAATAGCGAGAGTAAAAATTCAGAAAACAAAAATATTAACGAATGGAACTTGTACCTCTTCACCCTTCTTCACAAGTCCTATTCTTCTTATATTTAGTCGCACTGAAGCATAGAACTTCAAAGCATTACCACCACAAGTGACTTCGGTGGGCCCACCAAATCCGAAAGTACTAATTTTTGACCTCACCTGAAGAAAAATGTTGTAAACCTTGGCTGATCTTTGAAATTGAAAAAAAAAAAAAATGAAACATAAACAGGAACTTTTAGGTTGTGGGGATTCACTGATTAGAACAGAACTCAGCAGAAGTGATAACAGTAACACGTCAACGACATGAAATATTTGCAAGTCTTTAGTTACTATGAATTGTAGACCTAAAACTATATTATTTAAACTCTGATTGGACTCTAGTGCAATACTAAGCGAACCCAAGTTGAAGTTGAAGCTGAAGTTGAATTAAAATGATGTTCGAGCCTAAAAATGCAACCAAGATTGTCTCAGCAAGATCTTAGATAAGAACTCACTCAATTATATTCCACATTAAGCTGGCATGTAGCGGCTGCCTCTATTTTATTGGAATTCAAATAGTGACTCAAGCAGAAATTTAGACAGAAAAAGGGAGGGGGAAAAAAAAAACCTCAATATCTGGTGCAACTTAGAGACCAAAAACAATTATCAGAGTCTGAGACTGTGATAAGAACCAAGAAAAGATTATTATTGAAAACAAGAACTAGACTCGATTACAAAATAGATTTGCACACTTTCGTGAGGTCTGCTAGCTCCCCTAAGGGTTTCCCCAGTTTACTCTAATCAATCCCCCCTCCTTTAGTCTCTTTCTATTACTACTAACTAGCTTAACAAACATAACAAACCAACCCTAATAACAAACCACTAACCACTTATTATATTGATTACTAATTACTAACATAATCCTATCATTACTCCCCTCCCCAAGACACCTTGTCCTCAAGGTGTGGTCAAGTGACCGCAGTGGAATGACGCCATCTCCTTCCCATGTCGTCAAGCCCACCTTTCAGAATGTAGAAGGGCATCACAATCCTTGAAGAGCCAACTTCAACAGTGACAAACCAAGGCGGAAAAGGTGGCACGGAAGTGTAATCGGGAGCAAAAAACTCATTGGAGCCATTGTTCAGTCCACGAAACATAGAAATTTTGGTTTTTGGAGTTACAAACGCGGAAATATCAGATCTTCCATTTGCAGAGTGTCCAAGTCCTACTCCAATGAAGTCAATTTCTCCATCCCTAGCCCCAGGAGTGCTGGAATTCCCAGACCCAGTCATATTTGGGCCAAAATTTGATGACCCATTACATATCTTGCTGAAATTGGTCCCACTTTCGCTGAAATTTTTAGGCCCCCTATTGAGCCAGAAGTAGGCCCAATAATGTTGGAATTACGCAGCCCAGACCCAATCACGCAAGAATCGGACCTGCCCACACCAGAAACACGTGACCCAGCCCTCATTTGGCTGGAATTTCGAAACTCAGCCCCACCGACCAAAGGTTTTGAGCCAAACTTCCATGTCCTAACCATAATATCACCGGAATTGAGTGGGTCACTACTATACCGGCCGGAAACAGCCTCAACATCACCGGAATCATGTGTCCCAGTCCAAACCGCAGCGAAATCGCCAAGCCCAGCCTCAGCCGCGCCGGAAATTGTGAGCCCAACCCCAAACGTCGCCGAGCGAGACCGCCTCTCCCCCTCCGACCACAGCCCACCGTCAAATCGCCCCTTCCGCCGTGGGTCTTCAAGATCTGGGGCGATTTCGCCCAGACCGGCTCTCCTTCCCTCATCGCGAGCTCTGGAATCGCGTAAGCCGGTCCAAATCCGGTTGGGATCCCACTTCGGAGGAATCACCTGACCCGGTCCAAAGCCGACCGGAATCAGGCCCCTCCGTGTTGCAATCGTGTGTTGCAATCACACGTATCGGTCCAAGTCCCACCGGAATCTTTGAATCCAGCCTCAGTTGCGCTGGGTTTTGCGCAAACATTCCCCAATCTAGCCCAGTCTTGCAGGCTTGTCGACCCCCAACCATGATCGTATCGGCGTTCTCAATTTTCACCACCAAATCGCCACTGATTGTCTCAGATCTGAACGATTTCGCACCAAATCGTGAAAAATTGATCGAATCATTGTCGTCCTCCCGCGATTCCAGAACTGGTTGCGTCGGCCCACCGCCAGAAACGTGAAGATCTGAAATCATTACGTCCCGTGGCCAAACCTTCTCATTCTTCTCAGAGCGCAATCTCTCATGCGTTGCTTTGAAACGAAGTTGCAAATTGATCTTAAAAGCACTCCAACAAGCAAATGGCCACCTTCTGTCCTCTCATTGAAACCACTCGAGTGCCTCACCTTCCATGAATTCCTCTACAAACCAAACCTTTTCACGTTCTGAAAATCGATTATTCAGATGATATTCTTCTACTTCTACAATCCAAGAATGCGGATCTTTTCCTGAGAACATCGGCATTTCTAATTGCTACCAACGTCCACAAGTTCCAACCTTTTTTTTTTGCCCAAGAAAGTACTGCTCTGATACCAATTGATAAGAACCAAGAAAAGATTATTATTGAAAACAAGAACTAGACTCGATTACAAGATAGATTTGCAGACTTTCGAGAGGTCTGCTAGCTCTCCTAAGGGTTTTCCCAATTTACTCTAATCAATCCCCCCTCCTTTAGTCTCTTTCTATTCCTTACATACTACTACTAACTAGCTTAACAAACATAACAAACCAACCCTAATAACAAACCACTAACAACTTATTATATGATTACTAATTACTAACATAATCCTACCAGACTGCACCATGAAATCCATGCAAAATTCAGGAAATCCTTAAGAAGCAAAACTAGACAAGTAGAATAAGGCTAAGGGAACTCATGGATTGAGTTATAAAAGATACTTTAACCTATTGGATTAAGTAATCCAAAAAAATGCTAATACCTGATTTATAAAGATCAATAGTGTCTGTGATTGGGATAAAGAGTGGCTCAATTTGCGAAGAGCTTGACTCATCAGTCTAGCCTGCATTGCCACATGAGCATCACCCATCTCACCATCAAGTTCACCTTTAGGCACAAGTGCAGCTACCTGTCATCCAATGATTACCGGATAATAACAATTATTTGGAGGCCCCAAAGCTCTTTTACACAACAGATGAAAGTGGTGTGTTTTGTAAAAGTGCATAAAAGTACTTTGAACATACACTGATGCACTTTCACAGTTATTTTGAGTAATAGTTTTAACTTTTGACTTCTGCTTATACTTCTCCTTTTGCTATAATTTTATAAATAAAAAGAGAACTTACAAAACACGGCAATCCCAAACTATGCGAAATCACATTTAATAAAAGACTGATTGAAACAAGATAAGAAAAGAACAACTCAATCTAGAGGACTAAACAAGTGAAAGCAATATGTTTCATGAAGATTAAAGCAGAAGGTTGATGGTCAGGAAAAATAAATAAAAAATAAAGTTACAACAATAAAGCATGAAAGGAACCATTTTAGATCACCGATAGGAGAACTACTGAAAAAAACAGTTTCAAACATCCACCACCAGCAACAAACAATTTGGAGGACAATAAAGACATGTGGCAATAAAAGCACCTTACTTACACTGTCAACAACAACAACGTCAACTGAACCGCTTCGGATTAGAGTGTCCACAAGGCTGAGAGCTTGTTCACCGCAATCAGGTTGCGAGAGAAGCAGATTATGAGTATTTACACCAATAGCCCGAGCAAGTGCAGGATCAAGAGCATGCTCAGCATCAACAAAAACACAGGTTCCTACATCGAAGTGACAATGACCAAACAACAAAAAATCCAGAATGCAGTTAGCAGAAAATCTATCAAAAATAAAAATAATGCCTTCAACATAATTATAATAAATCCAAATATTGTTTCGATCATTGCTTTGTTTACTAAAGCCCTTAAGCTCTCAACATAAAAAACAAAAAACAAAAAACAAAAGGCAAAAACAAAAACAAAAACAAAACAGCAGAACAACAAAAAAGCCTGTAAACTCTCTTCTACATCAAAAGGACGATTTGACTGGACAAGACGAGTCATGAGAGTAGAGAACGTGTAGTACAAAATGGTCAGATAGCATTACATGAAAAATTAATATGATTAAAATTTCCCAGACAGATAATCAAATTCTTCTGATATGTAAACTTATTTTCCGCAAATATCTTGGCCGCTTAACATGATAAAAATAAGCAGCTACTTCATCAAAATAATTTTCACTAGATCATATTTTTGGAATGTAAAAATTATAACCTCCTTGCTTTTGTGCTTCGGCTATTACATGTAGAGCAAGGGTTGTTTTTCCAGAAGCTTCTGGGCCATATATCTCCACAACACGTCCCTACAAAAATCCAATAAAGCCATATCATAAACCACAAAGGAAAAGGAAAAGAAGGAAGTAAAGTGAAATATAAATTCATTTTTCTTCTTCATGGCCTTTTCATCAACATATTCTTGCATCTAATCCAGGCTATGAGCTAGCATTAGAGCAATCTGGTATTATGTCGTATTAATACAATTTTTTAGTTCCTGAAAATGTGTTTGCAGTTTCTTATAAAAGCATGAGTAGCGTAAATCCAATAACCTTTCAATCTAATAGTTTAAAACACTCTTGTACTAATACACAGCCAACTGGTTAGCATAGATGCCAAAAGGGTAGAGGTTCAAAAGAAGTAGATAACAAAATGTGAATAACTCAAAAAAAAAAAAAAATATATATATATATATATATTGCTAATAACATTGACAATTTTCGAACTAAAAACAATTTAGGTTAACCAAAAAAAAAACCCAACAATTTGCGAAAATACATTAGAGGACAATATGCAGAATACCTTTGGAAGTCCACCAACCCCGAGTGCTAAATCCAGAGAAAAAGAACCTGTGGACAGAACTGGAACATTTTTAGGAGATTCAGACCTACCAAGCCACATGATAGATCCCTTTCCAAATGAGGAAGTAATCTGATCCAGTGCTTGCCTCAAGGCTATCTCTTTCTTTGACAAGTTTTCTTCGCCAGAGTCACTTCCATCCGACTTTGATTTCCTTCTTCCTTTAGACCAATAATCAAATAAAGCTTAAAGTCTGAAACAGATAAGAACCCACATCTTTTTTTCAAGTTTAACTAATTTCATGCAACAGAAACTCAAGAGAAAGAAAATTTTGATTTTATCATAGAATATGAGAAATTCCATGCTATGCCATTTGCTCGTTATAATGTACGAAAATAAATATAAAAAAAAAAAATCCCATTGCAAAGATCTTCTTTTTTCAATTTTTCCATCCGTTAACAAAGGCATTTTTCTAAAATTAACTTCTTCAAAACCTGAAAGACAGCTCCTTGGTATATATTATGCATGTGGTTATGCTTCAATGTATTATGCAGTGCATTTTTCTCAAAAAGAAAAAACAATTTCCCTAAAAATTTAGCTATTTATGCAAAAACATTCAAAATAAAATCACTCGAAGTACCTTTGGATGAAAAACAACAAAGCTGGGAAGAACTCCCCACTATCCCTCCTCTGAATACCTGCACAGTGAAAAAGCAACATTTTGAGAGGAAAAGAAAAATATATGCACCAAGCAATCAACTTTACAAAATAAAAGCAGAAACAAAATGGCAAAAAAAAAAGTATATCAAGGATTTGGAGACAATTTTTATGGCCAAATGCAAGTATTTTATCGAAACGAAACTTTCTCAGTGACCAAACAGAATGTCTCAGAAACTATACGGCTTTAGTCAACCAAAACAAAGTCTTTGCTCTTTCGCAAAATACAAATATAAGAACCTCTGCAGCGAATAAAGCGCGTTTGAGAAGAGAAGCTTCGTGAAGAATCCTCGCCATGGACAAGCCGCTCAAAGCTCCGTCTTCTCCGGTGTTGAACTTGTAAAGTAAAAGTATTGGAGAACTAAATGAGAGGAGAGGGAAAAACTGAGGGGAAGTTGTAATCCACCATGGAAATGGAAGAGGAGAGAGGAACAGAGACGAGAGAAAGACAAGAATCGGAGTTTATTAGGGTTTTGGGTTTTTCCCTCCTTTCTTTCGGATTTTCTGAGGACAGAACAACCCGAGTGTAAAGTAGTTGAGAGAGCGCGCAGAGGCCACAGAGCGACAAATACTGGGCTGATTGGGCGGTGTCACAGTATGGACCAACATGCCACTTTGGCCCAACGCGATTATTTCTCAATGCTATCCTAAATTATTCTTTAACTTAGAAGAATTAAAGTAAGGGAGAAATAGAGAAATAGACTAAGATTTTGTTTATTTTTTTGATTTGAGTTTAAAATTTGAGTTTTATTATAGTAAAAAATTCTCAGAAACAGTCACAATTAACTTTTTTGCTACAGTAAAAAACTCTCAGATAAAGTCACATCTCAACTCGAATTAAAAACTCGAATCAATGAACTAAACGGGCCCTAAGACTTGAGATGAATTAAAATTAATAGGTCAATAGTTTATATAAGTTAATAAATAGGTCAAATTACTGTTTTTATCCATAACTTGTCTAGTTATGAATCATAACTTGACAAGTTATTGTCCATAACTTGTCTGGTTATGAACCATAACTTTATAAGTTTGTCCATAACTTATTTAGTTATGAACCATAACTTAACAAGTTATAACATATTAATATTTATAATTAAAAATTAACCTATTAATTTTTATAATTAAAAATTGACCTATATATTTTCTTAAGTTTTTCATATGGTCTATTTTCTACTATTTCTCTTAAAAAAAAAAAAAAAAAAAAAAAAAGGAAAAAAAAAAACGACGGCGGTCAATGATTCCAGAAGAATATCCTTTCTTATATCCCTTGATTTTTTTTTTTTTAATCTCTACTACATTCACGTTCGTTTTAACTTTTAAGCTTAATTATTACCATCCTACTACCTCCTTTAGTTTTTCGAAGCTCCTTTACTTGAACAAATGACACCTTTTTTTTTAGTGGTAAAAAATAATGAGTACGTTTAGAATTCATTTTAAAATAATTTTATTTTTTATATAAAAATAAAATTAAAAACGTTTTCATTTTCATTTTGTAATCATTTCTGAAAATGCGTTTTGTAGTTTTATTTCGAGATTGATTTCAGTTTTAAAAAAAATTGAAATTGTGTTTTGTGGTTTAATTTTAAAAAGATGTAATTTTAAAATTAAAATATATTAAATAAATAATATTATTAAATAAAACGTTTAAATGGGTGTGTTTAATATATTAAACACGCCCATTTATGTCCTCTCGGCAAAGCAAGAGGAATCTCTAGATAAGAGGAGGCAGTGAGGTCGAGGTGGTTGTGGTGGTGGTTCGGGGCAGCGAGGTCGAGGCGAGAGAGGAGGGGGAAAATGAAAATGGGAAATCAGAGAAGATGGGGGGTTGAGGGAGATCGGAGAAGAGTGGAGGGTGGGCAGTCAGAGAATAGTTGGGGGAGGGGGGTGCAGCCGGAAAAGAGTGGGGAAGAAGAGAGAGAAGAACAAAGGGAGAATATGGTAAATATTGTATTTACCAATAAATACTTTACTAAATAAGTTTGAAGTTGGTAAATATAATATGGTAAATATAGTATTTACCGGTAAATATGGTACCTACCAGTTGTTGGAGCCGATCACCAGATTTTTGAATAAAAATAGTAAATACGGTGTTTACTGATAAATACAGTATTTATGGGTAAATACGGTATTTACTAGTTGTCAGAGCCGGTCGTCGGACTTTCGGATAATATGATAAATATGGTATTTACCAGTCGCCTGAGCCGGTCGTCGAATTTTTAAATAAATATGATAAATATGGTATTTTACCAATAAATATTTTAGTAGTTACAAGTTTGCATATGGTAAATATTGTAATATCATTAAATACTTTAGTAATTGCAATTTTGAATATGGTAAATACTCTATTTACATGTAAATACTTTAGTAGTTACAATTTGAAATTTGCTATATTTATCGGTAAATATGGTATTTACTGATAAATACAGTGTTTGATGGTCGTCGGATTCGGTGACGGGATCTTCAAATAAATATGATATTTACTAGTAAAAATGGTATTTATCGATAAATACAGTGTTAAACGGCCGTCGGAGTCGGTAGTCAAATTTTCAGATAAATATGATATTTACTCGAAATACGGTATTTACTAGTAAATACAGTGTTAAACGGTCGCTAGAATTTGTGCCTAAATTTTCAAAAAATATGATATTTACTAGTAAATAAGATATTTATTGGTAAATACAGTGTTAAACGGTTACCGTAGTCGATGGCCGGATGTTAAAGTAAATATAATATTTACTAGTAAATACGGTATTTACCGGTAAATACAACATTAAACGGGAACCGGAGTCGGCTTTTCAAGTAAATACCGTATTTACTAGTAAATACCGTATTAAATGGCAAACACGGTATTTACCAGTAAATATAGTGTACAGTCAACAAAAAACGGTCACAGATTGTTGAAAAACGATCATAGGTTGCCGAAAAATGGTCTCCAATTGCCGGAGCTGGCTGCCGGTCCCGGTCATTGTGAGCTTGACTATAATCTACCTATTTTAAAAAATATGCTATAATTTACTATTTAAAAAAAAACACAAATGTTTAGGAGAGAGGAGTGAAGTGGAAAAGGAGATTTAAGGGTATTTTTGGGTTTTTAATAATGTTTAAAACTTAAAATATCAAATTATGCTATAATTTACTATTTTTAAAATATATGTTATAATTTATTAATCACTTTACCAATTATGCTATTTCACTCCTTATTCCTATTATTTATGTCACTTCACTAAAAAATAAACAATTATCATTCAATTAATAAAAAAGAGAAACACAAAATACTACAATAACACCTATTTTTTAATATGACATAAATAATATACATGTATATATACATGACAAACCATTTACTTTTTTCCAATGTAGAAAAAAGATAATTAGTTGCGCCTTTACAATTTCATTTGTTTGTCTATTTTCGGAATGTTATTACCTATTCTTGTTTTATTTTGGTCAATTCAATTGAAAACATAATAGAGTGATATATAAAAACACGCTAAAATACGAAACCCATCCATGTAACGTTTTTCTTTTTTATAATTAATTTTAAGGTTTTTTGCATGGACCCTTTAACTTTTCGCGATTGACAATCTGATCTCTAAATTTTTTTTGACAATTGACGCCTTAACGTTATAAATATTTTGCCAATCGATGCCTTGACGTTATAAATATTTTGATAACTTTTCACCTTGACGTTACAAACGCTTAGATCATGTGACAAGCACGTGACTTTTCCTATGGCAATTTTATGGTCATTTCTTTCAAGAAATGAACCCTTTTTTAGAGAAAAAAAAAAGGGTTCTCTTCCCCTATTTCGGATGAACAAAACAAACATAGGAAAAAAAAACAAAACAAAAATAAGAACCTTAGCCCATGTCGTTCTTCACGATCTCTTACTCTCCCTCTCTCTGATGAATCTTGGGCCGTATTTGAAGTTGATTTTGTTTTTTTTTTTTACGTTTTTCGAGAAAGAAAATAAAAACGGAAGAGAAACGGCGTTTGACACAATTTACGATAAAAAACGGAAATAAAAACGATTTTTTAGTTTAGTGTAAAATAAGAGATAAATGAAAAACGACTTTTGGTCGTTTTTTATTTTTTGTTTCCGTTTTCTTCTCTCTTGAGCACGGAGAGAGATTAATGGATTTTTTTATACTGAAAATAATCTTTTGATAAAACTATCAAAAGCATTTTTAAAAATGATTTCTGTGTGAGATTAAAAACATTTTCATTTTTTTTATAAATAAAATAAAATCATTTTGAAACGAGTTTTAAACGCACCTGGGTTTTGTAATCGCCGCCCTTGCGCTCCGAACTCCCACCCACGCCGAACCCAACCACCAATCGCCGCTTCCCCGGTCGTCTTCGCCGTTCAGAAAGGTGGGTTTTTCTTTTCCCTCTTCAATCTGAATTAGAGAATTTTTAGATTTTATTTGTTTTTGTTATTAGGTTTTTGTTTATTCTGATTTATCCGAAGTGTTTGGAAAATAAATTGATGAATTTGGGTGTGTTTTTGGGATGAGGATTATGAGCTTCTGGGATGAGGATAATTTCAGGATTATGAGCTTATGTGATGAATCTGGGTAAGCAAGCTTTTTCTATTGCAATTGATCGGTCTTGTTAAGCAAAATTGATTTAAACTTCAGTTATCAAGTTTCGGATCTGGTGTTGAGCACTTGAGCTCTGTGGTGGTGGTTTTGAAAGAGAGAGAGAGAGAGAGCTTCTGGGTTTGATGTTTCTGGGTTTTTTTGTATTGAAGGTGAAGTTCTTGTATTGTTTCTGGAATTTATGTTACTAGCCCTCCTCCTATTTGATGTTTGGGTTTTTTGTATTGAAGATGTTCTTCTCCTTTTTTTTTAATCTTTAATTACCTTTTTAAGGTTAATTTTTAAAGTTGATTTGAGTTGGAATGGAATAAAATGATCTATCTACAATTTGACGGCTGTTTTCAATTGGACCCAAATTGTAAAGGATTTATATTGTCAAGTAGCCGATTGCACAAACAAAAAGTTTTAAGGACCAGATTGTCAATCGCAAAAAGTGAAGTAGAGTTTAATTCATAGATTTAGAATTATAATTTAAAATCATTCACATTTTATGTGTATTTTTTTTTTTTAAGAAATCATGATTCAAAATCAGAGACGAATATAAAAAACAAACATCAATTAAGGCCTCGTTCACTTCGCGAATTTAAATTTTCAGTTTTAGATTTCTACAGTAAAAAACTATCAGAGAATGTCACATCTAACTTTTTCTACTACAGTAAAAAATTCTCAAAAAATGTCACATCTCAGCTCGAATTAAAAACTTAAATCCGTAAAGTAAACGAGACTTAAGAGTCTCATGCAAAAAAGCCTAATTTTAATAGAGATTAGCCAATAATTAATGCCAAACAAGCTATAAATCTCACTTTACCAAGTTATCTAAAGTGACGTCTCACCAAATTGGGCATGCAAGCATCTTTTGCACTATTCTTGGCACAAAAGGCGGGGATATGCGAAGCAGAACATTCGTTTGGACAAATACGTTTACAACCACGGACAAATTAGTCCTCCAAATTCCATACGAAGGGCAATCCAGTAATAAGAATTGCAAAGGAAATGAAAGAAGATTGAGAACAGGAGGGAAGAGAAATCATAAATATATTCCAAAGAGTTTCTAAAAACATCTACTCTCAGACCTCAATGAAACCCGAAAATGGAGGAATAAATCACAAAGAAAAGGGCACGACTATTTGACCACATTACACTGAGGAACATAAGAAAAAAAAAAGAATAAAGAAGAGAAAAAAAAGCTGATGACTCCCGAAATCATTCATAACATGTAAAAGGGAAAAAGAAAAAAAAATCAATTATATATAGTAATGAAGCATCCAAAACTGTCCCAGAACCCTTCTCTGTGAAGATGTGTAGAACCCTCAAACCCGGAGGAGTAACCCTTTTATGCAAAGGATCAAACTCTACCGCTGTTCTCGGAGCAAAAACTCTACTGCTGTTTGCATTCCGGAGGCCTCTCGCCCGCCTGACCATCCACACCTTGTGCTCTTCCACTCTTCTGCATTATTATACCCAAAAAAAAAAAAAAAGGTTATGATATGTTAAAAAGGTGAGGAAAGAAGATAAGAATAAATAAATCAACAGAGTTCAATCATGAGAAAATGTAAGGTTGCTGCATTACCTTCTGCCCCGCTGAGGACTGTGGGGGAATTTCCGGGCCAGTTCAAAGGAAGCAGGGTTAGCATCATGACTTCTTAGCTTACAGAGATAATAATAGGAACTTTGGCAAATAGATAAAGGGATACAAGTTTTTGAGATACTGGACCTTCTTTTTGGTCTTGCCTTCATCCTCGTCTTCATCGTCATCCTCGTCATCTTCATCCTCGTCATCCTCATCGTCTTCATCCTCGTCGATGTCCTCATCATCGTCGTCTTCTAACTCTCCAAACTCATCTCCTTGGATAGCCTCTCCCGTAAACCAGGAGACGGCATGGGGGATGATCTTATCCCGAATGGTCGAACTGTCCAAAAAGAAAAAAGAAAAGATTAGCAAAGGATTTAAGAGGATCAAGTGACGAATCAGGAACTCATAGCAGTAATGAAAAATGTTATGAGAATCAAGAATGCTTGTGATCACTTAATTGACTAGACACAAACTTACCCAATGTCATAATCTTGCTCCATCTGGTTTTGAAGCTCCTCGGCCTGTGAAAGAAAAAGAAAAAAATAATGAACGAGAAAACATCACACACACATTCGTTAAATAATGTAGAGACAGTAAATGAAGTTGGACATACAGCATCTTCATCAATATCCTCATCGTCCTCAGGAACTTGAGGAGGATTGAAAAAGTTGAAGAAACTTTCACAATTTTCAGTTTTGGTGATTGGCTTAGCATTCTTTGATCCCTTCTTAGGCTTCTTCTTTAGGAGCTTCTGAGTTAAGCATTTTCCTGGAAGCCATTCAATCTCCGTCCTATGAAACACCAGGTACCAAACAATTTGAATGATTAGACACAAAATCAAGAGCCTAAACTAGTCAACGCGGTGGCAAGATAGGAAACAAAAGTACCCAATCGCTTTCTCTAGAATAGGCTCATCTTCATCAATCATATGGTACGTTTTCGTCAAGACAATGTTCTTGAAGAAAGGATTGGTCTCAAAGAAGAACTCGAGTTTGAATCCCTTAGGGTTGTCTATCCTGCTCCACTTGATATCCTTGACATATTTGAGAGCTCCTTCATCGCGCTCGGAGATCTGATTGCATAAAAACAAGAGGAAACATATGATTTGGTAAACGGCCATAGAGGCCTAGACACCAAATGAACCACCACAAACTAATAACTACCTCTTCAGCAAGCACTTCGTTATTTTTCATTGCATTGAGCCAGAAATCGGGCACACCCTTTTCTGCATAAATGGGTAGAAAAGCTTCAATACAAGAAACAATTGCCAAAAACTCATAAAAAGTTCCTGACAGATATTGAAGCTTTACCGTTGGCCTCCTTGTCCTCTTCCTTATCTGTTGCTGCTTCAGCAGTAACTCCTTCAACTTCAGTGACGCCATTGACTATCTCATAACGCTGCAAGAGACCATCACCATTCATTTTAGAAAACAGAAAAAAACAAGAAATCCCACTTAATGTTGCCAAAGATCAGTTGACAAAGTATTCAACACACGGCACGCAGACCATAAGTAAAAGAAAAGTCGGATAGACCAGCGGGATACCTTGGTGTACAAAGGTTGATACAACTTCTGATACTTGGCTTCAAGAGCTGCTCTCTCTTCAAAAAACTTTGCTTCCAAGTCATCGTGCTGGCTCTGCAAGTCGAACCGAAAAGCTTTAGACATTCCAAGATTTGAAATAACAAACACAATCACCACCAACTCTACATCAAAAATGTTGGCAGAACAAGAGATTTTTAAATAAATCAAATAACAACAAACACACCCACCAAAGAAAAAACAACAAAACAAACGAACAGTAACACCCGCAACGTTTCAAAGTTCAAATGCACCGATAAACATTATTCTATGAATATAATCATTCTTTCTCACTACTACTATACTATGGCAAGAAATGAAACACGTCTAAATTCGGAGTCGAAGTATGGGGTTTTTCCACTACCAAAAAATTACACGACAGAGCACAGAGAATAAAAAATATATAGAACTTCATTAACAATAGACAGTTCAAATCTATAAATAAATAAATAAAATAGCAACCCAGCAAGGAAAGAACTATGAAACTAAAGGAAAAAAAGCACACCTGGAGAATAACAGTAACACCCTTAACGTTTCAAAGTTCAAATGCACCGATAAACATCATTCTATGAATATAATCATTCTTTCTCACTACTACTATACTATGGCAAAAAATGAAACACGTCCAAATTCGGAGTCGAAGTATTGGGGTTTATCCACTACCAAAAAATTACACGACAGAGCACAGAGAATAAAAAATATAGAGAACGTCATTAACAATATACAGTTCAAATCTATAAATAAATAATTAAATAATAGCAACCCAGCAAGGAAAGAACTATGAAACTAAAGGAAAAAAAGCACACCTGGATGTCCCTAAGAACCTCGACCCGCTTTCTGATATGCGGCGACAAGCTCTCCAAAATATCAGAGTGCTGCCCAGCCAAACTCTGAATCTTGTTCTGCAGACCACACCAAACAAACCCGTTCGATTTTCCCGACAAACAAACACAAAAAAAAAAATCACAACAAACAAAAAAACGAAACCGAAGATGAAGTTGTTCACCTTGAGAGCGTTCACAAGGCCTGCTCGATCCTCTTCGTTCAAAGCTGTACACACCCAAAAAAAAAAAAAAATCAACACCAGATTTTTTTAGCCCTCGAAAACAAAAACAAAAACGAAGAGAGAGAAAGAGAGAGAGAAATACCAGCGCCGAGATCGGACATGGCGAAGCTTTCCTTGTCGTTGCTCATTATTTGGGAGGAGAGGAGAGAGAAAGGGCTAGAGAGAGAAGCAAAAGCTAAAACCCTAGAAGCGGTGAAGAGGAGGAGAGAAGGAAAAAAGTTGTGAAGAAGAAGAGGCTACAAAACGTGGCCTCACTTAAATCCTTTTCTCCCTCTTTTAAAAACCTAACACCTGAAATTTTGCATTTTTCTTTTCCCATTTTCTTTATTTTTTTTTTTCCATTTTTGGGAAGAGGTCTTGAAGCCCTAGTGTGTTACTGGGCTTTTGGCCCAATAAGCTTCGTAATATATCGGGTAATATTCCTTTTTCAGTTTCTTTTCTCCAATTTTGTGCCCAAGTTTTTCTCTCTGATTAAAATTATGCCCTTCTTAATTTGATTTTAAAGAAAAACGTTATAGATACTTATTGCTAATAGTGCATACGGAAGTTAGACAGGTATTCTTCTAATTCTCCTGCGAGTTGGATGAATCAGGTTTCAAATTGAAAGCCGTGAATTAAATTATTTTCTCTTTTTGGTTCAAAAGAAAAAATTTATCTGAATAAATTGTTCTCAATAAATCCTAACCTTTTTACGTAACAAATTAATTAGTCTCAGTTAGTATCGATTCATGCATAATGTTGCATACGTTTTTAAGTGACAAATTAATGCGTTTAGTTAGTAGATTCATGTCATGATTCGAATTATAATTCATAATTTATTACAATATTTTCTCTCATAAAAAACCAAACTATTAAAAAACAAAAACAGAAAATAAAACAAACACAACTCTAACAACCTGTACAAAAAATCAAATCTGAGAGTTGTGGGGACTACCACATTGATTTAGACATTTATTGGCGGGTGTTGGTTATTGAGTTGTTTGGTTATGTTGCCTTGAATGAGTACCCTCTCGCTTACATGGTCAGGGCTCAGCGACACGAGATTCAACTAGGCAGCACAGAGTTTGCAACTGGCAAAAATTTGGGTCGGCTTCGAGCTAGGATATAAGACATACAGGGTGTGTTTGGAACTCGTTTTAAAATAATTTTATTTTTTGTATGAAAATATTTTCAATTTCAGACATAAATTATTTTTAAAAATGCGTTTAATAGTTTTATCAATAGATTATTTTCAGTAAAAAAACTCATTGATGTATCTCTTTCTCTCTCTGCTCTCGAGAGAGGAGAAAATAAAAACAAAAAATGAAAAATGACTAAAAGTTAATTTTTATTTCTCTCATTTTACACTAAACTAAAAAATCATTTTTATTTTTATTTTTTATCATTATTTTGTCAAACGCCGTTTTAAAAATATTTTTATTTTTTTTTCTTGAAAAACATAAAAAATAAAAACAGAATCAATTCCAAACACGACCACAGATACGGATATAGGTCGTACAAATATGAGAGCTCTTCATAGCACAAAAAAGAAAATAAAAACGATCAAGCTCATAGCAGCGGGCACAATGCTTTGGAACTTGGCTGGGTATTGCAGATTTGGGTTGGTGCGAGGACTTAGTTGCTATGAGTTTGGTAGGTGCGAGATGGGGATGGCCAACGGCCGACGCAGTGAATCTGCGTAAGGTAGCATGGACAAATTGGAAACAAGAAAATGATCATCGTCATTTTTCTCTGGAAATCAACGCAGTGAATCCGCCTGCTTAAGGTAGAAGCTCCTAGATAAAAATGACGTTTGAGATAATTGAAGTAAAACCATATATTTTGACACAAAAGAAAATTCAGCACTAGACAAAAGTAATTTTCCGAGAAGATGAAGAAACAAGGAAAAAAGAAATTGATATAGTGGGTGCGTTTGGAATTGGTTCCAAAACGTTTTTATTTTCTGTACGAAAATGAAAATGAAAACGTTTTTAGTTTCATTTTTGAATTATTTCTAAAAATGCGTTTGGTAGTTTTATTTAGAGATTGATTTCAGTTTTAAAAAAAACTGAATCTGCGTTTGGTGTGTTAATTTTTGAAAACATGTAATAATATATTAAATAAATATATTAAATATATAATATTATTAAATATATTAAATATATAATATTATTAAATATATTAAATATATAATATTATTAAATATATTAAATATATAATATTATTAAATATATTAAATATATAATATTATTAAATATATTAAATATATAATATTATTAAATATATTAAATATATAATATTATTAAATATATTAAATATATAATATTATTAAATATATTAAATATATAATATTATTAAATATATTAAATATATAATATTATTAAATATATTAAATATATAATATTATTAAATATATTAAATATATAATATTATTAAATATATTAAATAATAATATATTAAATAAACATATATAATACAAAAACGGTTTCAGAAAAGAGGGAAGAAAATGAAAAAGAAAAAAAAAATGAAATCCGTTATTCAGAAAACAGAAAACGAAAACAAGAAAATGAAAACACCTTTTTTTCTTTTTCTGATTTCCACAAAAAGACAAAAACGTTTTTGGTTTTGTTTTTTAAAAAAAATTGCACCAAACACGTTTTTAACACCCGTTTTCATTTTTTTACTTTGAAAACCGTGAAAAACGAAAACGAAAACGCAAACAAACGGGCCCAGTAGCTACAAGATGGCAACTAATATCCCCGTGTAAAGGGGGGTTTAACTACTAAAATCTCTTCACAAGCTGCAAACTTTAGTGAATCCCACTTATTTTTCATATTTCAGCAAGATGAATTCGCTTGTTTTGTTGTCCAATATAAGAGGTACTCCTACAAGATTAAAAAAACTATCATTGAAACTCTAATGGAGAGTTCATGATGTAAGTGCACTGTCTTGACCATCATTTTCATTGCCTTTCGGATTTATTTTCTTGATCAGGGTCAGCTGGAACATTCGGAGTCAAGATGCGCCCAGACAAAGGATCCACAGGACGTGTGTCGCGCAGCCCTCCTTTACGTCCCATTGCCACCATGGGTGGCGGGGGTAATAACCCTGCTCTGAAAAGAAGGCGCTGCACAGGCTCTGAAGGCTGAGCACCAACAGACAGCCAATACCTGCAGAAATCACAAGAAAATCGCGGGACAAGGTTAAAACACATAGGACATTGCTAAACTCATATTCAACTCTCGGCCAGTAAAAGTAGTCTTCATTTGGCGCACCATAATAAATTTTATGGAATTATATATCATAATGATCCTCATGTGTGTGCTAAACTAAGGATTAAGCACCATTTTCAGCTTTGGAATCAATCCATCAACGTGTCCCCTGTCCAGTCATGGCAAGTGGAATCTTCTAGCTCTAGCATGAACGTAAGACTTATAATGGTGAACCCAATGTCTTTCTTCTCCTCCATCCATAGTATTAAGTAATATATATTTGTCTTTGTGGAACCATAAAGTAACCACATAACTTCATTGTGCAGGTAAAGGTAGTTAAAATGCTGATCTTATTAAATCACGCAGTGCAAGAATACCCAATATGTACAAACTAAAAAATAAAGACCTTGCTGTCCAGCAGTCCAAGATTCAATTTCAACTCAGCATATCAGAAAAATGCATAACTGAAGTCTGTAGAGCAAAACAGAACAGAACAGAAAAGAATGTACTTACTTCACTCTTTCGAAGTTTAGACCCATTCGTTTACCACCATCTTGGCCTAAACAAACCAGAAACGAACTAATTATTGATCCTTCCATTAGTTAAAGAAAGAAAAAACAAAAAAAAAAACTCGGGGAGCGTTTGGTATACAGATTTTTAAAATTCTTAATGGGAAAGTGATAGAAAAAGGCTAATAGGATTTCTAGGAAACTTAGATTACTGTTTGTTGGCTGTAGTACCCAACAGTCTTGGATAAGAGAGGTACAATCATCAATGGAAAAGAACAGTAAAAACCTGCAAAAATATGGCACAAGGTTCTAACAAAAAGAAGAAAAAAAAAAGTCTATTACATTTCCGCCGCTTAATCAGTTATGAATTTTCAGTCAAAGGATCTAGATTTTGACGTGAATTTCATACAGCGTGAAATTGACAGTTGAAACAGAGAGGAAAAGAAACGATTTTTCCAACAATTTTCCCAGTAGCCATTCACTACCACTCCTAACAAAGGAAATTTCTTTTCATCTGAAACTAAAATCCGAACACAAAATAAGCTCGAAAAGAGAAATCGGATTTTCGAAATGAGAAAAGAAGAAGAAGGAACCTGGCAAGGGATTGTAGTAGCCTAGGACCTCGAGGTGCTTGCCGTCTCTCGGAGAGCGGCTATCGGCGGCCATGACTCGATAGAAGGGCTTGTTATTGCATCCGAACCTGGCCAATCGGATCCTCACCACCATTTTTGCTGAGCCCCAACTCAGTTTTCCGCAGTAAAACGATGAAGAAGACGACTCAAGATTACCAGTTAGGGTTCTGGGTTTTATGTTGCAGGCGTTCTAATTGGCTCTTGCGGGTACAATTACTCTCGGCTTCTGCTCCTGTTTCGGAAAACGATGTGTCATTTCAGAAAAAGGATTAGTGGTGGCGTATCGTTTTGGCAAATCAACTGGCGTGGAAATTAGGGGTGTAAGAATTGAGCCCGAACCCGCAAAACCCGGCCGACCCGACCCGACCTGAGATTCAGTCTCTTTTTTTTTAAAAATTAAAAAAAACTCGGATTCAAATAGGCCCAACCCGCCGCGGGCCAGGCAAAAGCTTTAGACATCCAAGATTTGAAATAACAAACACAATCACCACCAATTCTACATAAAAAATTTCGGCAGAACAAGAGATTTTTAAATAAATCAAATAACAACAAACACACCCACCAAAGAAAAAACAACAAAACAAACGAACAACAGTAACACCCTTAACGTTTCAAAGTTCAAATGCACCGATAAACATCATTCTATGAATATAATCATTCTTTCTCACTACTACTATACTATGGCAAGAAATGAAACACGTCTAAATTCGGAGTCGAAGTATTGGGGTTTATCCACTACCAAAAAATTACACGACAGAGCACAGAGAAGAAAAAATATATAGAACTTCATTGACAATATACAGTTCAAATCTATAAATAAATAAATAAATAAATAGTAACCCAGCAAGAAAAGAACTATGAAACTAAAGGAAAAAAAAAAAAAAAAAAACACACCTGGATGTCCCTAAGAACCTCGACCCGCTTTCTGACATGCGGCGACAAGCTCTCCAAAATATCAGAGTGCTGCCCAGCCAAACTCTGAATCTTGTTCTGCAGACCACGCCAAACAAACCCGTTCGATTTTCCCGACAAACAAACACAAAAAAGTCACAACAAACAAAAAACCGAAACGGAAGATGAAGTGATTCACCTTGAGAGCGTTCACAAGGTCTGCTCAATCCTCTTCGTTCAAAGCTGTACACACCAAAAAAAAAAAAAAATTCAACACCAGATTTTTTGAGCCCTCGAAAACAAAAACAAAAACGAAGAGAGAGATAAGAGAGAAATACCAGCGCCGATATCGGACATGGAGAAGCTTTCCTTGTCGTTGCTCATTATTTGGGAGGAGAAGAGAGAGAAAGGTCTAGAGAGAGAAGCAAAAGCTAAAACCCTAGAAGCGTTGAGGAGGAGGAAAGAAGGAAAAAAGTTGTGAAGAAGAGGCTACAAAACGTGGCCTCACTTAAATCCTTTTCTCCCTCTTTTAAAAACCTAACACCTGAATTTTTGCATTTTTCTTTTCCCATTTTCTTATTTTATTTTTCCATTTTTGGGAAGAGGTCTTGAAGCCCTAGTGTGTTACTGGGCTTTTGGCCCAATATCGGGTAATATTCCTTTTTCAGTTTCTTTTCTCCAATTTTGTGCCCAAGTTTTTCTCTCTGATTAAAATTATGCCCTTCTTAATTTGATTTTAAAGAAAAACGTTATAGATACTTATTGCTAATAGTGCATACGGAAGTTAGAGAGGTATTCTTCTAATTCTTTACGCCGCTTAAAAACGTATACAACATTCTGCATGAATCAATACTAACTGAGACTAATGAGACGTTTGGTTCATGGATTAGAATTATATAATTAGAATTATTATCGATTTACGTGTATTTTTTATGAGAGAAAATATTATAATAAATCACGAATTATGATTCAAATCAAGATACGAATGTTGTACCCTTGTTACGTAAAAAGGTTAGAATTCATTGAGTAAACAATTTATTCAAATACATGTTATCTTTTGAACCAAAAAGAGAAAATAATTTAATTCACGGCTTTCAATTTGAAACCTGATCATTTATTAAAGTGTGTTCGAATTTACCGGCCATTACAATTGCATGAATTAATACTGACTTATTAAAGATTTGTTTACTAAAGTAATAATTTATGATTTATCGAGTAAATAATTTATTAAGGATAATTTATTTTTGAATCGTAAAAAGAAAATAATTTATCAGCCAACTAGCTATTTAAAACCGGTTATTTACTAAAGTACGTGGTTGAATTTTGCCACTCGCTATGTCGTTTTAATAGAAATTTTAGCAAGTGATTTTTTTTTTTGCACAAAATGTAAAGAGTAGCGATAACAGATTTTTTTTTTATTGTTATTTGTAATAGCATAAAGCAATTTAATAATTAGAAAATTTTGTAATTTTAAATCCATGAAAAAGAGAGCAAGAAAAGATCAATAAAATCTACATGCATCGTGTAATAGCATTAGTACTGCTTCGATCAAGATGAAAATCAGGCCAGCTGTATTTAAGCATATGACTTCTCATTACTATTGCAATTTTTGACTAAAATAGATAAAGTTTTCAACTAAAAATTATTTAATTTATAATATTAATCATCTACATGCTAAAAGGTCGGGAATAAAATATTTTTGTTAAATTAAAATGCACGGTTTATAATTTTTCAATATTCTTTCATAAATATCATTTTTTTAAACTTTTCTTAAATTTGAATTATCGTCATTACTAATATTTTCATATATGCTTTTATATAAGGATCGTGTCTATTTTTCTGTTTTTTTTTTTTTTTTTTTTTTTTTTTTTTTTTTCCATTTGTACCCATGTTTTAGTTCTTAAACATTTAAATTTTAAATTTTGGATCTATGCTTAATCCTTACCCCTTTTTTTCATAATCAACAGTCAATTTTGACAATTAAAAGGACCAAGAACCAAGAAGTCATCAAAGGAAAGAAATCAAAAAATCAAAACCAAACCATAAAAAAAAACAAAAACAAAAACAGAAAATAAAACACACACAACTCTAACAACCTGTACAAAAAATCAAATCTGAGAGTTGTGGGGACTACCACATTGATTTAGACATTTATTGGCGGGTGTTGGTTATTGAGTTGTTTGGTTTTGTTGCCTTGAATGAGTACCCTCTCGCTTACATGGTCAAGGCTCAGCGACACGAGATTCAGGCCCCGTGGTCAGGGCTCAGCCCCGTTCATTTCACTAGCAGCACAGGAGATTCAGGTCCCGTTCATTTCACCTGATCAGGGCTCAACCCCGTTCATTTCACTAACAGCACAGGAGATTCAGGTCCCGTTTATTTCACCTGGTCAGGGCTCAGCCCCGTCCATTTCACTAGCAGCACAGAGTTTGCAACTCGCAAAAATTTGGGTCGGCTCCGAGCTAGGATATAAGACATGCAGGTTCTAAGTAGCATATAGGCTACAGCTAGGTGGTCAAAATGTGAGTCTTGATGGTACGGATACAGGTCGCACAAATACGAGAGCTCTTCATAGCGCAAAAAAGAAAATAAAAACGATCAAGATCTTGGTGGCGGGCACAACAATGCTTTGGAACTTGGCTGGGTATTGCAGATTTGGTTTGGTGCGAGGACTTGGTTGCTATGAGTTTGGTAGGTGCGAGATGGGGATGGCCAACGGCCGACGCGATGAATCTGCCTGCCTAAGGTAGCGTGGGCAATTTGGAAACAAGAAAATGATCGTCGTCATTTTTATCTGGAAATCAACGCAGTGAATCTGCCTGCTTAAGGTGGAAGCTCCTAGATAAAAATGAAGTAATTGAAGTGAAACCATAAATTTTGACACAAAAGAATATTCGGCACTAAACAAAAGTAATTTTCCGAGAAGATGAAGAAACAAGGAAAAAAGAAATTGATATATTAGCTACAAGATGGCAACTAATATCCCCGTGTAAAGGGGGGTTTAACTTACTAAAATCTCTTCACAAGCTGTGCATTCTTTAGTGAATCCCACTTATTTTTCATATTTCAGCAAGATGAATTCGCTTGTTTTGTTGTCCAATATAAGAGGTACTCCTACAAGACTAAAAAAACTATCATTGAAACTCTAATGGAGAGTTCATGATATAAGTGCACTGTCTCGACCATCATTTTCATAGCTTTTGGATTTATTTTCTTGATCAGGGTCAGCTAGAACCTTCGGAGTCAAGATGCGCCCATACAAAGGATCCACAGGACGTGTGTCGCGCAGCCCTCCTTTACGTCCCATTGCCACCATGGGTGGCGGGGGTAATAACCCTGCTCTGAAAAGAAGGCGCTGCACAGGCTCTGAAGGCTGAGCACCAACAGACAGCCAATACCTGCAGAAATCGCAAGAAAATCGTGGGACAAGGTTAAAACGCATAGACATTGCTAAACTCATATTCAAATCTCGGCCAATAAAAGTAGTCTTCATTTGGCGCACCATAATAAATTTTATGGAATTATATATCATAATGATCCTCATGTGTGCTTAAACTAAGGATTAAGCACCATTTTCAGCTTTGGAATCAATCCGTCGACGTGTCCCCTGTCCAGTCATGGCAAGTGGAATCTTCTAGCTCTAGCATGAACGTAAGACTTATAATGGTGAACCCAATGTCTTTCTTCTCCTCCATCCATAGTATTAAGTAATATATATTTGTATTTGTGGAACCATAAAGTAACCACATAACTTCATTGTGAAGGTAAAGGTCGTTGAAATGCTGATCTTATTAAATCATATAGAGCAAGAATATCCAATAAGTACAAACTAAAAAATGAAGACCTTGCTGTCCAGCAGTCCAAGATTCAATTTCAACTCAGAATATCAGAAAAATGCATAACTGAAGTCTGTAGAGCAAAACAGAACAGAACAGAAAAGAATTACTTACTTCACTCTTTCGAAGTTTAGACCCATTCGTTTACCACCATCTTGGCCTAAACAAACCAGAAACGAACTAATTATTGATCCTTCCATTAGTTAAAGAAAGAAAAAAAAAAAAAATTGGGGGGCGGTTGGGATACAGATTTTTAAAATTCTTAATGGGAAAGTGATAGAAAAAGGCTACTAGGATTTCTAGGAAACTTAGATTACTGTTTGTTGGCTGTAGTACCCAACAGTCTTGGATAAGAGAGGTACAATCATCAATGAAAAAGAACAGTAAAAACCTGCAAAAATATGGCACAAGCTTCTAACAAAAAAAAAAAAACTCTATTACATTTCCGCCGCTTAATCAGTGATGAATTTTCAGTCAAAGGATCTAGATTTTGATGTGAATTTCATACAGCGTGAAATTGACAGTTGAAACAGAGAGGAAAAGAAACGATTTTTCCAACAATTTTCCCAGGAGCCAATCACTACCACTCCGAACAAAAGGAAATTTCTTTTCATCTGAAACTAAAATCCGAACACAAAATAAGCTCGAAAAGAGAAATCGGATTTTCGAAATGAGAAAAGAAGAAGAAGGAACCTGGCAAGGGATTGTAGTAGCCTAGGACCTCGAGGTGCTTGCCTGTCTCTCGGAAAGCGGCTATCGGCGGCCTTGACTCGATAGAAGGGCTTGTTATTGCATCCGAACCTGGCCAATCGGATCCTCACCACCATTTTTGGTGAGCCCTAACTCAGTTTTCCGCAGTAAAACGATGAAGAAGACGACTCGAGATTACCAGTTAGGGTTCTGGGTTTTATGTTGCAGGCGTTCTAATTGGCTCTTGCGCGTGCGATTACTCTCGGCTTCTGCTCCTGTTTCGGAAAACGACGTGTCGTTTCAGAAAAAGGATTAGTGGTGGCGTATCGACGTATCGTTTTGACAAATCAACTGGCGTGGAAATTGGTATTGCTGTATTATGCTACGCGTCGTTTTTCGTTTCGGGGCTTTTAATGATGTGGCCCAATTAATTGCATGAAGAAAAATTGGGGAATCTTTACAGGAATGTTATGAATCCACTGTATCCATGGTTTGGAGGGGAAAAAAACATTTATAGAGAAAATCTTACCATGTCATACCTTTCTATTTATGATACTAAATATATCCTTATGTTATTGGTCAGTAACCGTCACGATACTCATTGGTAATTATTGTGACATCAATAATAGGGAAAATAGGGAAGATAAAGGGAAGAGTGATTGGTGCTTTAATGGTACTTTCATGGGTAAAATGCTTAATTTACTCTATGGGATAATTAAGGAGGCTGCCACAGGTTTAGTGTGTATTGAATCATGCATGGGAACATAAACTCTACCGCCCCGTTCATTTCACCGATTTGAGTTTAGAATTCGAGTTTTATTACAGTAAAAAGCTATCAGAAACAGTCATATCTAACTTTTTTACTACAGTAAAAAATCACATAAAGTCACATCTCAACTCAAAATAAAAACTCGAATCAGCAAACTAAACGGGTCACAATTTCTATCACAGTGATTTAAAAAATAAATAAATTTGGTATGGACTTTA